TGGTAACAGGCGTGTTGAACAAATGTCAATTTGGTCACAACGATCTTTGAACTGACAATATGAGTCTTCACATATTTGTCGGTGGCTTACCATCCTCTTTTTTTTGAGTCTATCAGTCCAGAGTAATTAAGGCTCATCTACTTTCGATGGTACTACTGTTTAATAATTGGGATTGGGTGATCAATTCTGACAAGGTATTGGAAATAAGCAGGGTTAAGAATATCAGTATATAGTAAATAAATATTTTAATATTACTACTAATAGTATTATTACTACTACTACTAATACTACTACTATTATTGTTACTACTAATTCGGATACTACTGCGAACCTGACAAGTATACGTCTGGTTGAATTGAGGCACTCGTACAAAATACAAGCCAACACGAACATAACATTTAAAGAGATTCATTAAAACACAATTAAACTTTATGTATGTTCCACTTATTTTTGGGATGGGTGAGAATCAAAACTGTGTTGAATACTTCTTGGATAAGAGCGTGGATAGTTAAGGTTGATTGAGGTGATTAAAGGAGGGAATTTCATTTAAGGATATATTCACAACAGCAATAAAATATGTCACTTTTTTTGGTATAAGTAGGTCTTGGGACTATTACTAATTTGTGGGCAAGAATGTAGGAAGTCTAGGTCGGCTACTTCAATTTTCTCACAATCAGACGAGTTGCACCAAAGCCTCCATTGAATTTGACATTCTTGGTGAGCAATACCTCTCTCAAGTCATATTTAATGCAGGATTGTTGCTGGCATTGTTGGGATTATTGTTGTTGGGCCTAACAATCGACATAGTTACATATCTTTGTTATAAGTTGTATTCGAGGTGGTCACTAATTTTTTTATAAAATTATAGGTCCGTAAATCAATTTATGCGATTTAAGATAAGTAATGTTTTATTTTAAATTTCACTGTTATTATGAATTTCATTTTATTTTCCAATTACATTTGCCACCATCACAGCTCACCAGTTCGATTCACAGATTGTGACTCAAGCTCAAAAGACTTCGAGACTTCGAGGGATTTTTCACACCTTCCCGATGCCGTGGCTCCTTGTTCTAACTCACCTTCCAACAGTTCTGACTTAGTGTCGACCGAAATCGCCCTAGCGCAAGCAACATCTTCATCTGGCAGTTTGGAAGGAGCTTCAAGGATCGCCGAGATGTGCGGCTCAAATTTATTTGAGGCTCCTTTGCAGACGCTGGTTCTGGCTCGACAACTCGATGTGCACCTACGATGGAATGCTCTGATCACGGCGCATGGGGCCTCTTCTCGTCATGACCGGCTGAAATCGGGTATTCGGAGCATCATGTATGTACATTTTGCCACAAAACGCTACAGTCATGCTGAGGCAGCACCATCCCAAATGACGCTTTCCCGTAGTAACTTCGAGAAATTGCCAACATATTCTAAAAGTCATAGTTCAGAATCTTGCGGAAGACGAGTTTGGAAAGGAATACAGACACCTATTTTCTATTACTGAGAACATTTTGATTTTTGAGTGAAAAGATGTCATTTAGATATTTGCGAATTTCAATGCCAACACAAAATGATGGTGGATTTTTTTTCTCTGGAATACTGTTTTGGATGCTAGTCCCGAGGCATTCATTCTCTTTGGATTGCAAAGAATTTGCGCTAAACCTTAGCTTTTCCTGTCAGTTGGCAAATGGGCATTGTACCATGCATGCAAATGCATGAAGATAATGCGTCAAGAATACTCATCTATTTACCTCTTCCTGTACCTAATGTGCGACGAAATGATCTGATTAGTTACTGTAACATGTCGATTAAAAGAGTGCAACTCTGTATAATTTCGTAGAAGCTAATAGCTGGTTACATAATTAGTTAATTAATTAGTTAGTGACAGAGTTACTGAGTGATTGAATTAGTTATTTAGGTATGCACTTGGTTAGTTAGTTGGTTGGTTTGATTGTTATTTAATAAGTTAGATAGTTTATTTTTATTTGTTTGTCTGTTTGTTAATAAGTTAAATTGTTGGTTTGTTTGTTTGTTTGTTTGTCGGTGAGTGAGTGAGTGAGTAAGTGAGTTAATAAGTTAGTTAGTTAACTAGTTAGTTAGGTAGAAGTATTGG